TTTTTATTATGAGTGAAGAGTCAAAATAATTCCTAATATTTATATTTGGTCATTTTAGACTTAAAATTTATAAAAATATTAAATAATTGCGATTATTTTAAAATTGAGCTCTAATAGTACTTCATACGAACTGAGTCTAGCGACTATTTTGACACGTTTATAAATTTTGGGACTAAAATTATCTCGTGTAAATAAAAAATTAAATCCGTACACCATCACATCTAATAGAATGATGTAAAATAAAGTTTGTCCCCAAAAAAGAATTAGCTCAAACAAGATATTCAATAAAATTGTATATTGAAACGATTTTACTCTTCACAATGAGTACCTCACTATTTATTGTTGGGCTGACTCTTCTACGATATACATTGGTTAGGGGTGGCAAATTAGGTTCGTCGGTTGGGTTTGAGTTTGACAAAAAATTAATAGGATTTGAAACTGCTTGACTTGAATCTGACCCGAATTTTAAATTAGACTGAAAGTCCAACACAAAACACGGCCCGCCCAATATTTTGCATCTCCCAATAACAAACATCTAAAATTTATTAAATTGTAAATCTTTTTAGGGCTCAAGACTAAATCATTACAATGTGAAACACTTTTAATAATAGGCCTTATATGTCCTACCTTAACTATGCAATAGAAGAAAATTAATTTTAAACAAACTCCTCATTATAAGCAACACTAACTTCAAGTAATAAATCAAATAATATAAGTTTTAAAATAAAATATAACAAAAATTATCATAATCCATAAATTTTTAACCCGAGTTTAGAATTAAAATTCATTTTATCCAAATCCAAACATTGGGCTTCTTGATCTTCATCACTATGCAACCTATTGATGATTCATCTTTTCAAGTGAACTCCTAGTGATGTTCTCTTTGATCGTAATATTGGAATTAATAGATATTATAGTTCATAAAACCATAAAATCAAAATTAATAAATATAATCTAGTTTTTCCTCTATTTGAGTTAATGACATAAGAAATGTAATTCATTGATTGCATAAATAAAATTTAATATCACATAATAGAACCAAAAGGGGATGTAGCTCAAATGGTAAATGGTCGAGCGCTTGCTTTGCATGCGAGAGGTACAGGGTTCGATACCCTGCATCTCCAAATGGAAATATATTTATGTTTTTGATTACAAGAATAATTCAACACATACCACAATTTTTTTTTGTATTAATACATCTAACACCTAAGTATCAATTTTTACATATGACGTCAAAATTTGGGGTGGTATAAAACATAGGAACAAAGTGATATGCCAATTAGGGGTGTAAACTGCTCGTTTATATTTTTAGCTCAAAAAGTGTGTTTATGTTTGACTCGTTTGCTTAGCGAGTCGAACACAAGCCCTTCGCAAACAAAGTGTAATTTTGACAACCCTAATCACGTAATCATTACAACCCTAATCACGTAGTCATAAGATGTTATGGATTGGGGCAAGATTTAAAACATCATCTAAATCTAATTTAATAATTTTTATTCTATTTTCTTCATTAATAATTTTAATTGAAGCTTTGTAGTCAATTAAATTTTAAAAAATATTATTCATCAAAGATATATATTATAGCTTCATAGTCAATTAAATTTTTCAAAACGGCTCGCTATAAAGT